AACACCCCATGTTGGGGCGCACTAAAATAAAATGGTTACAATTTTTGTGTAGAGTTTTTGGACACACTATAAAGAATTGCAACACTCTGAAGCAGATAGAAGTACACAGTAATTTAAAAAAAGAATGAAAATAAACAAGAACTAAAAACACAATAGTGCACACTGTTTGGGGTGAAGACCAAAATCTAACCTTTTTCACATCTATCTATCTATCTATCTATCTATCTATCTATCTATCTATCTATCTATCTATCTATCTATCATTTGTAGCTGTCTGAATTTGTTTAAGACAACCTCTGTCTGCTCTAGGGGCATTGATCTTTCATGTAATTTCAACAGTTTAGAACCAAAAATTCTCACTCTTTTAATTTTATATATCTCCCTTATATTTGTATACCATTTCTTTTTTTTATGTATGTATTCATCTGGCCCCTGATTTGGGCTTTCCGGCTCACCAAAGCTTTTGTTTTCCTCTCCACTATTCTACCACCTTAAACTATTCTATTTATCTTTATGATTTGACTGTCATAAATAATGTCATGTATGTCTATCACTAATTTACGCAAACTGTACTGAAGTAATGATGTTAAACAATCCATTTGTAGAACGTAACTGAGAATTTCCCAATCTGTAATAACCTTCTTCCCTGATAAAGGTCCAGCCTATGGCTAGCCGGAACGATAATATTCGTCATGCTCTAGGCATGCTCCTTGCCTCCAGATGTGCATGAACGATGATTTGGTCTTAGCCTGCTGCAGCGGTAAAAGTGGAGTGTAAACAAGGTTTTAAAGTTGATCCAATGACCTGCAGCCATCTTTTTTGTGAGCGGACAGGGAGGTGTCACTCTCTTTAGCTCAAGGGTCCTTCTGTGGCTGACAACCAGTATAAGGATCATCGTTGACCAGAGCCCCACTTTCCCATCTTAGACCCCCTTCTTATATTGTCTTTCTAATTGGCAAGCAGGACCATATCGTGTCCAAGGGTCTCCTGTGAAACATTTCCACAGCTTGCCCCTCCAACTAGACGCTTATTCATGTCTCCTTAATGAGAAACAAAACGATCTCTAATGAGCAATTACATAGCGACAGGACTGTTCCCATAACAAATTCTTCTGTGTGACAGAAACATCCATTGTGGAGAACGTTGGGCAGACACTTCTAGACTGCACACAAAAAGCAGGTTGTGTCCCTGCACCTAGTCTGAATGAATAAGGGACCATCAGGGGTTGGGGAGAATAGGAGCCGTATATAGGAGATTCTGGAAATTAATTAAACTCTCCTTCCATTGTCATCTATACGCCATATGGATACTTTAATAGGAATGCTTCCTGGCATTGGGGAAGATCCAGTCCCCTTTTCATCACCAGCATGCCTACAAGAATAAACACGTATATAGAAAATTGCAGCCATATCAGTCAGCAAGAAATGACTTTAAATGTTCTGACTGCTTAAAGGAACAAAGGTGCAATTGGATTGGTTGATATGGGATACTGTGCTTTTCATGGATTCATTAAACAGCCCCTTGTATAGGAATCTATCTACAATAAGCCATTATAATGCACACATCACTGTTCCTGATCTTACTAAAGCCATATTCACACAATAGGACGTAATAACCCCATATTTAAAGGTGATTTACTAAAGGAGAAATACAAAATGCTAAAAAAAAAAAGGCTGAAGGGGTGTAACAATAACATTTTCCCTGTTTCAGAGTATTGGGTATATTAAAAAAATCAGCCACCATCTACAGTTTATTAAATAGGGCTCACAAGATGTCCTCTGCTTTCTCAAATGCAGGCAGGAAAAGGTACGTGAGCGCTGCAGATGACCTATAACTTACTGCTGTGCAGAAGCCTTACCATATGGCCATAAGGACTTCTCTATCCACCAACCTTCTGGCACAAGCTGGGTCAGGCAGCAATGGCAGCTGTCCAAGGTACAGAAAAGATATGGGGCGCATTATCATATTGGTTTAAAAAAAGGACAATGAAAATGCTGTGAAATGCACAAGTGGTGTATTAAAACTAATAGTATTGTTATTATTTGACAATATTTTTACCAGAGCTGACACTGCTTTGAGAAAAGCAGAATACAAAAAAGGCATAAGCGCACCAATAAATCTGTATACTTGAAAATGGAAGGGGATTGGTGGGAAAGTGAAGGCTTTGGAATTTGTTGGAAATTTTGGTCTATAAGGATGGGATGAATTAGAACATGTATTGTTATGTTATGTTGAGTGTAGTATGGTATTATTCTTTGTATTGTGATGTTTCTCTCTGTATAAGTATTTGTTAAAAAAAATTATATATAAAATAAATAAATAAAATATTGATTCAAGGATGGAATGGGTTTGCCTGAAGAGTGAATTGGTGTGGGCCTTTCCTAGTGGCACCTCTTGTCTTACAGTCTGTTGTGACCACTGTGCTACAGGCGCTTTCATGTATATGATATGCCCCAGTGGCATAAATGTCAGAAGTTGCCCCGTGCTCTGTTGTGCCAATGCTCTGCTATGTTTGTGCCTCTGGTACATCCATGATAAAAAAAAAAACACATACATCCACTGAAGCCCTGCACAAATTCTGCCAATCCTCAACAACCCTGAAAAATATGTGCCATTCACTAACCTATCAGTGCTGTGCCCACTGGCACTACTATAGGGATATGCCACATTTATAGGGTGAATCACTGTCCCAATCAAAATACGGGTAAGGAAAGGTTTTAAAACAGAAGTTCAAGACATATACATTACGTTCAACTTGGCTGTATTAAACACAGGCTGGCAAGTCTGGAGAACAAGTTACCCACTTGACTAATTCATTCACCAATCTACTGAATACATCCTTCAGAATACTGTGCCACATCTGCCAGGCTAGGGGCAGACTCTGCCTTGTGCCTTGTGGGGGGCACCCTGCTGAGCTGACCCTACGACCACTGCCAGCCCCACCACAGGGCAGAGAGAGAACACAATGTGAAGGACTGGGGGGATCTCTGCCATTATATAATGCCCAGTGTGCCAGTCTTTAAATTTTGCAAACATATACAGATATAAAACAAGAGTGCAGGATAAACTATACCAATATTTGACTCTGTGTAATCCAGGCATGCGGTCTCATACATACACAAACAAGAACACAGCATTATCTACCTATATGGAGCACAACATAACATGGCCAATATATACAGCATTATCCATCAGTCCATACACCTATCCCTCCAGCCATGCAAATGCATCCATCTTTCTATATCTATAGGTGTAGCTATATCTATCTATCTATCTATCTATCTATCTATCTATCTATCTATCTTCTATCTATCTATCTATCTATCTATCTTCTATCTATCTATCTATATCTACATATCTATTTATTTATATAGAGTATGCAAAGCAGCACTAGTACCTTACAGGTCAGTGATGTGTCTCCTAAATATAGAAAAATAGACCAGTAATTGCAGTAGTCTTTATTGCAATGTGCAAAATACAAAGTAACGAAAGCTACAGTTACTTTGTTTAGAAAGAATATGAAAGTGTGCAGCAATTACTCTTCTGGAATCCTTTCTCTCTCTTTCTCTCTCCCTCTTTGTATATGTTGAGAATCTTCACTCAATAAATTGTAGCGTTGTTTTCTTTCAAAACCCAGTCATGTGCAAAAGAAATAAACAGGAATTTGTGTTTCTCTTGATTGGATAATTCAAGTGAATTTTCACTCAATTAAGTGAAAATGGTCAACTACTTTACTAAATCAACTTTAATATATTTATCTTGAGCTGTCTATTACAGCTCTCTTTCTTTCTTTCTATTTATTTATCTATCATCTATCTATCTATCTATCTATCTATCTATCTATCTATCTATCTATCCATCCATGATATAGCTATCTCTCCATTTACCTATAATATCTATTTAGCTACCTTATTTTCAGTACGTCCTACCTATCTATTTATCTATCTATCTATCTATCTATCTATCTATCTATCTATCTATCTATCTATCTATCTATGTATCTATCTATCTATCTAGTCTCTCTATCTATGTATGCATGATATAGCTATCTGTTCATTTACCTATAATATCTATGTACCTATTTGATTTACAGTACGATCAATCTATCCATCTCATCCTGTCAATCTCTCTCTTTCTACAAACACATTATATATATATATATATATATATATATATATATATATATATATATATATTTATTTACAGAATTATCTATCTATCTATCTGTGATATATATATATATATGTATATATATATATGTCCATTTACCTATAATATCTATGCAGCTATTTGATTTACAGTATGATCAATCTTTCTATATCCATCTCATCCTGCCAATCTCTCTCTTTCTACACACACATTTTATATATATATATATATATATATATATATATATATATATACATATATATATATTTACAGTATTGTCTATCTATCTATCTATCCAATATATATATATACATTTACCTATAATATCTATGTAGCTATTTTTATTTACAATATGATCAATCTATCCCATCCTGTTAATTTCTCTCTCTCTCTTTCTATATATATATATATACACACACAAACACACATATATATATATATATATTTAAAGTATGTCCTTTCTTTCTTTATATCTATCTATCTATCTATCTATCTATCTATCTATCTATCGATCTATCTGTCTAGTACAATAACATCCACAAATCAGATTATTTCCTCCTATCACATCATGGAAACACAAATCACAATCTGATCGCCTTTTCTATGTAACAAAATCCAGCACACATCTACAAATCCATTCAGCAAGCTCTGATCCAATTATTCTGCAAAACATACTGGAAGATGTCAAAGTAAACCTGCAACCACATACACCCCTCCAAATCCTCCTCTTGTATGATCAGCAGACACTTGGAACGAGCAGATCGTTGTGCAGAACATCCGATCCGATGTAACACACACACACATATATACACGGTTCCCGAGCCCCGGTGCAGAGTGAGCCGAGTATTTACCCTGCGCCGGCTGTCCTGGCACCGACGTGCCCGGGTACCACCCTGGCCGGGTCCCCCAGGTGCCCGTCTGTCCGTTCAGCATCCTCAGCTTGTCATACATGCCATCTGCGCCCATCTGTTGCTTCTCGCTAGCCAGGTTGCGCAGCACTCGGTTTATCGACGATACCTGCGGAGGGAGATCGCGACAGTTCAAGTCATAGGTAACAAAGAAAGTCCGACAATTAGAAAAAAAAAAAGTGAAATGCATGTGTAATAGTTAGTTAGTTACTTTTATATTGGTCAAGTCATTAGAGATGGTATCCAGCTTCTGGGAACAATTCCCTCGAGTTACAACAGCCGCCAGGTACCGTTTGTACAACGCGTTAAGCCCCCCCCCCGACGCGTTTTTTTCCCCGACGCGCTCTAACGCAACCCCCCACCCTCCCCTCCCTCCTGTCATTGACTTACACTAGGGATGTTGTCGTTGGTACAGACGCCTTCAGACAGCAACCTGTCCCGGATCTCCCAGGCAAAGATGGAGGGGCACTCTCGCTTATACTGGGCTATTTTGCTAACCACTTCTGGGGTGGCCACCCTGGGTTTGCTGCCCCCGATGGCTCTGGGCCTGATGGATCCAGTCTCGTAATACCTCCCCAAAATCTTACTCACGCAGCCGTTGGAGACCTGCACAGAACAACGACAACAAACCACATTATGAATAATTTCAAGACAATAGTACAATTTTATAGTAGGCATTAAACAATGACAAGCTTACGTTTTGACTATCCAGCACTTGAACTTTTGCATCTGCATGGCTCTATAATACAAAAATATACCTTCAATGGTACATGAGAACTTATGGCTTGGCTGATCATTTTACATTTTGTGGCCCTACACACTCTAAATCACTAAACAGTTCAATAAAAAAAAATAGATTTTTTTTTGTTGTTGTTGTTTAACTCGCCTACAACCTAAACTGGAACTGATAAGAACAGTCCTAATTAGTCCTAATAAGAGGAGGGAGTAGTAAGAGCCAAAACATAGGAGTCTATGTACAAAGGAGATCAACGCTAATCAGTACAAAGGAGATCAACGCTAATCAGTACAGATGCACGTTTGAAACATGCAAAGTTCTTATAAATCTGGTATCAAATTATTTTTTAAAAAAAGTAAAAAGATCTATTTTTATTCCTTTTTTTTTATATTGAAGCAGATGAATGCCGAATAAAAAAAGCTGGAGGGGCAGCATTATATCAAATGGGTATCACAGTAAGAAGAGCATTTGCGTTGAAAGCTGCGTTTGTCACCTGAAGGATCCTGGAGATATCGCACGGTCTTGCTCCGCTGTGAGCCAGCTCTACGATCTTCTGCCGTGTAGAATCGGGCAGGGGTCTGCCGTTCACAAAAACGCCACCGAGCTGGTTAACGCCGCTGTGACCTGAGGACAGGAGAAAAAAACAGTACATATGCGTCAACGCCTCAGACGCACCCTGACGTCCAATTCATAAAAACAAAAAAAAAAAAAAAAAAAAAAAAAAACACGCTTCTCCAACCCCCACACATCGTCCTGTTCCAGCCATCCCATCGAATGGGTCTACAAACTCCTAACTCCAGCAGCCAAATAAACCCCAATCTCTTCCAACGCCTCCTACAAGCATCAGCTGTCAGCAAATGAGCCTAGGCACCGGACTAGAAATAAGGAAGTCCAAAACTGCTCTACTGAAATAGTCCTGAGTGATCCTCTGATTTTTGGAGTTTTGGGTTTTAAAAAAAAAAAAAAAAAGATCCCCCAAACCTGAAGGGTGATCCCAGCTAAGGGAGCCTTTCCCTGGAGAGGATGTGCTCTGCTCAGCTGGCAGAGGGCTGATAAATCGTCTTGCAGGAGCGCTGGCTTCTTAGCAAATAAATAAGCACCAAATATAGAAGAGAGGGGGAAAGTATGATGAGTCTTTCTGACATTTGTCTTTAAAATAAAGCTAGCTGCACGTCAAGTTTGAGCTTAATTTCTGGAAATAGGCGGAAGTCGCCCTAGATCATGCATGGGAGGCTAATTGAAAAGATCATTTGAAGTACTTGTGGCAGGCTTGTCACTTTATGACAGTCCTCTGCTTCTGAAAATTGCATCGTCAGGACAAATGCTACCATGATAAAAAACGACCCTTTCTAGCCGGATCTGAAGAGCACTCAGGCTCAGAGATAAGCCTAGCACGAGTTCCTTCCACAACAAGAAGAAAACCAGAGGTGGAGGGGCAACACTTTTATGTCTTTTCACTTCACAAACTGCCACTTCATATTACCTTCTATTTAATTCTATCTTTATATTTTTAATGATTCCCCCCCCCCCCCACACACCACAATCTAGGGGCTTCCCTTGGTCATCAATGGATCAAATTAGAAGAGGGACCACTTCTTGCCAGAATTTAAAATATACACGTTGTGCCTCCCCATCTTCATAAAGGATGTTAACTGGCACTTCCTATACCTTCTATTTAATTCTAGTTTTTACATATAATTTTTATTACCCCCCACAATACAATCTGTAGACATCCCTCGGTCATCAATGGATCAAATTAGAAGAGGGACCACTTCTTGCCAGCAAAATGTAAAATATACACGTTGTGCCTCCCCATCTTCATAAAGGATGTTAACTGGCACTTCCTATACCTTCTATTTAATTCTAGTTTTTATATATAATTTTTTTATTACCCCCCACAATACAATCTGTATAGACATCCCTCAGTCATCAATGGATCAAATTAGAAGAGGGACCACTTCTTGCCAGCAGAATTTAAAACATACACGTTGTGCCTCCCCATCTTCATAAAGGATGTTAACTGGCACTTCCTATACCCTTCTATTTAATTCTAGTTTTAACATATAATTTTTATTACCCCCCCACACCAAAAATCTGTAGGCATCCCTCAGTCATCAATGGATCAAATTAGAAGAGGGACCACTTCTTACCAGAATTTAAAATATACACGTTGTGCCTCCCCATCTTCATAAAGGATGTTAAACTGACACTTCTTATACCTTCTATTTGATTCTAGTTTTGTATATCAATTTTTATTACCCCCCCCCCCCCCCACACACACACACACACACACACAATCTATAGTCATCCCTTGATCATCAATGGATCAAATTAGAAGAGGGACCACTTCTTGCCAGCAGAATTTAAAACATACACGTTGTGCCCTCCCCATCTTCATAAAGGATGTTAACTGGCACTTCTTATACCTTCTATTTGATTCTAGTTTTTACATATAATTTTTTATTACCCCCCCCACAATACAATCTATAGACATCCCTTGGTCATCAATGGATCAAATTAGAAGAGGGACCACTTCTTGCCAGAATTTAAAATATACACATTGTGCCTCCCCATCTTCATAAAGGATGTTAACTGGCACTTCCTATACCTTCTATTTAATTCTAGTTTTTATATATAATTTTTATTACCCCCCCCCCCCCCCCACACACACCACAAATCTATAGACATCCCTTGGTCATCAATGGATCAAATTAGAAGAGGGACCACTTCTTGCCAGAAAATTAAAACATACACGTTGTGCCTCCCCATCTTCATAAAAGATGTTAACTGGCACTTCTTATACCTTCTATTTGATTCTAGTTTTTTACATATGATTTTTATATTACCCCCACACCAAAAAAATCTGTAGGCATCCCTCCCACTTTATGACAGTCCTGCTTCTGAAAATTGCATCGTCAGGACAAATGCTACCATGATAAAAAACGACCCTTTCTAGCCGGATCTGAAAAGCACTCATTTTAAGCCTAGCACGAGTTTCTTCCACAACAAAAAAAAGATTACCAGAGGTGGAGGGGCAACACTTTTATGTCTTTTTCACTTCACAAACTGCCACTTCATATTACCTTTTTATTTAATTCTATCTTTATATTTTTAATGATTCCCTCCCCCCCCCCCTAGGGGCTTCCCTGGTCAAATGGATCAAAAATTAGAAGAGGGACCACTTCTTGCCAGAATTTAAAATATAACGTTAAAACCTCCCACTTCATAAAGGATGTTAACTGGCACTTCCTATACCTTCTATTTAATTCTAATTTTTTACATATAATTTTTATTACCCCCCCACAATACAATCTGTAGACATCCCTTGGTCATCAATGGATCAAATTAAAAGAGGGACCACTTCTTGCCAGCAAAATGTAAAATATACACGTTGTGCCTCCCCATCTTCATAAAGGATGTTAACTGGCACTTCTTATACCTTCTATTTGATTTTTAGTTTTTATATATAATTTTTATTACCCCCACACAAAATCAATGTCTGCATCCCTCAGTCATCAATGGATCAAATTAGAAGAGGGACCACTTTCTTGCCAGCAAAATGTAAAATATACACGTTGTGCCTCCCCATCTTCATAAAGGATGTTTAACTGGCACTTCCTATACCTTCTATATGATTCTATATTTTTATATAATTTTTATTACCCCCCACACCACAATCTATAGGCATCCCTCGGTCATCAATGGATCAAATTAGAAGAGGGACCACTTCTTGGCAGCAGAACTTAAAATATACACGTTTTGCCTCTCCATCTTCATAAAGGATGTTAACTGGCACTTCCTATACCTTCTATTTAATTCTAGTTTTTATATATTAATTTTTATTTACCCCCCACAATACAATCTATGGACATCCCTCGGTCATCAATGGATCAAATTAGAAGAGGGACCACTTCTTGCCAGCAGAATTTATAAGGATGTGGGGGGCACAAACTTTTGTATATTTTAAAGGAAGTCAACTGACACTTCCTATACCTTCTATTTAATTGAAGTTTTTTATATATAATTTTTTTTATTATTTTTATTTACCCCCCAACCCCTGGACATCAATGGGACAAATCAGAAAAGGGACCACTTCTTGCCAGCAGAATTTATAAGGATAGGGAGCACAACTTTTATATTTTAAAGGATGTTATCTGGCACTTCCTATACCTTCTATTTGATTAAAGTTTTTTTATATATACATTTTTTTTTATTATTTTTATTACCCCCCACCCCTGGTCATCAATGGGACAAATTAAAAGAGGGACCACTTCTTGCCAGCAGAATTTATAAAGATGGGGGGGGGGCACACAACTTGTATATTGTAAAGGATGTTGACTGGCACTTCCTATACCTTCTATTTAATTCTAGTTTTTATATATATTTTTTTTATTTTTTTACACTACAATCTGTAGGCATCCCTTGATCATCAATGGATCAAATTAGAAGAGGGACCACTTCTTGCCAGCAGAATTTATAAGGATGGGGGGGGGGGGGGGCAACTTGTATATTTTAAAGGATGTTTTTATATATTTTTTGTTTTATTTTTATTACCCACCCCCTGGTAATCAATGGGACAATGGGACACCTTTGGTCATCAATTGAAAAATTAGAAGGGGGAGCTTCTTTCCAACAGAATTTATAAGGATGGGGGGGGGGGGGGGGGGGGGGGGCATAACTTGTATATTTTAAAGGAAGTCAACTGACATTTGCTATGCCTTCTATTTTATTCTAGTTTTTATAATTTTTTAATTATTTTTTATTACCCCCCACCCTTGATCATCAATGGGACAAATTAGAAGAGGGACCACTTCTTTCCAACAGAATGTTTAAGGATGGGGGGGCATGACTTTTATATTTAAAGGATGTTACCTGGCACTTTTTTATACCTTCTATTTCATTCTGGTTGTTGTATATTTTTTATTATCCCCCACACCACAATCTGTAGGCATCCCTTGGTCATCAATGGATCAAATTAGAAGAGGGACCACTTCTTGCCAGCAGACTAAGGATAGGGGGGCACAACTTGTATATTACCCCCCACCCCTGGTCATCAATGGGACAAATTAGAAGAGGGACCACTTCTTTCCAGCAGAATGTTTAAGGATTTATTTTTTTTTTTGATTTTTATATTTTAACTGTTAACTGGCACTTTCATACCTTCTATTTTATTTTCTTTTTTTTATATAATTTTTTTTTACCCCCCACACCACAATCTGTAGGCATCCCTTGATCATCAATGGATCAAATTAGAAGAGGGACCACTTCTTGGCAGCAGAATTTATAAGGATGGGGGGGGGGCACAACTTGTATATTTTTTTTTAAGGATGTTAACTGGCACGTCTTATACCTTCTATTTAATTCTTAGTTTTAGTTTTTATTTTTTTTTTTTAAAATTATATTTATTACCCCCCACCCTTGGTCATCAATGGGACAAGTTAGAGGAGGGACCACTTCTTTCCAGCAGAATGTTTAAGGATGGGGGGGGGGGGGGGGCTTTTTGGCTTTTATATTTTTTTTTTTGTTAACTGGCACTTCCTATACTGTCTATTTAATTCTAGTTTTTATATTTTTTTTTTATTACCCCCCCACACACAAATCTATAGACATCCCTTGGTCATCAATGAGTCAAATTAGAAGAGGGACCACTTC